GGTAAATTTATAAATATATATATTTACAGTCTGACCATAAAAATACAATTAATAATTAAGCTGTTCAAAAGTAAGGATTTAAGAGACTAAAAGAAAAGAGCTGAACGAACACTTCATTTTTTACAAGGATCTTCCACAATCAAGTAAAATTTGACAGCTCTTGTGGTTGAATGATAAGGACTAGTGCTCTAAAAGTTCTTCCTCTAGACATGGGTGCAACAAGAAATGATGCCTTTGAGTGAAGAGAAAGCTGTGTCTTCCTCTGTACTAATTCAGTCAGTCCTAGCTGTAGAAAGGTACATACACAGTCCACAAGACCTGCAGATGGTGGGAAAGACTCCAGCTGTAGCCAGCATATTAGAACCAACTCAAAGTTGGTTACTTCTGCTTTTAATCAAGACCTTGGGGCTCTACTCATATTAGTAAACCCTCAGCCTTTATTCCATTTTATTTGTGAGAGAAGGTAAAAAGCTTAATGGAAAGCTTCTTGGAGGGAACTTCCTGTCCAAGGAACACTCAAGAGATTGTGGCTTAGCTAAGCAAATATTAGAAGGAAAAGAATAAAGCATACATGAAAGGGTGAGGATGAGAACCAAAGGTAAGGAGTAAAAGGCATAGAAGAATATACCTTCGGTCTATTTCCATTGATTAATAATGAATGGATGCAGAACTATTATATTTTCATGTATGCTTTATGCGCTAGCTGGACATGTATGAATACTGCTTGTGTTCTAGTCATTCCATTAGACCTAAAAACTAGTTTCAAGTCTGGAATACAATACACTAATATTCAGTGACAAGTACTAACAGAGGTGCGAAGATGAGAGATCAAATGATAGGCAAACACCTAGAAAGGCAGGCAGTTGAACAGAGAGATGCAGAGCTAGAGAAAGACATGTAAGGCTGTGCATTCTGGGGAAAGATTAAAGGTTCAAGTCACATTTTGATTTTTTATTTTCCAAATACTATTTTAAATGTTAGATAATTTCATTAGAGCAGAATTTCTTCATGCATAACCATGCTTTCTGGAAAATTATATTTTAATTTAGGCTTGTTTAGGGGAAGTTTGGGGTAAAAATGTATACTAGTCTGAAAGCAAATACTATATTAATTACAATTTAATAACATTAAATTTAATACAATTTAATTTAATACAATTAAAATGAATTTTAATACTATATTCCCTAATTCAATATTTT